GTATTTTAAATCAGCTTAAAAGTACGATATGTAATAAGCTAGCTGTAATTGAATTTTGAACTAAGCACCCTTTCTATGTTCAATTTGACTGATTCACCATTATTGTTTTACCGAGCGAGCTCTTTACATATTTTATGACACATATTTATGCGTACAGAAAAAAACGAAATGCATGTGAAACTATTTCCTTATCATAACAGCGCACATACGTGTCAGTTGGTTAAGTTCTACTCACACACACACCCTTATGAATCTATTGTTTGTTGTTTGTCTTTTTCACATTGAATCAAACAAACAACAAAAAGTTTAACAAATTGAAAAGTTGCATCATTTCGAAAAAATAACTCAATCTGCGACTATTCACCATATAGATTATTATTACACAATCAATCAATCATGTGTACCAATCAGAATAAACAAAAAAAAATAGACTTTGTACGTTGTTGTTATTTATTAATAGTGATAATGATGAGTACTTTATTAGAAGAAAAAAAGTTAAGTTTTTGGATATATATATAACACACATTGAACATTGAATTACGCGCATTTTTTAAAGTATTCGAGTCATCATTATTGAATAACAGCAGTAAGTTATTCATTCTATGATTGATTTTTGTTGATGTTATGGCTATATTGATAAAGTTTAGTGCATGTTAAGTGTTCATTGAAGATAGTGAATGCGGATTGATTGAAGTTAGTCATTGGTTCAGAGGTTAAGCGTTGGCAGGTAAGACTGAAGGTCCCAGGTTCGAATCCTGCGGCAGTCATTTATGCACATTGCTGATGAGACTGATACCAAGATGAAACGGCTGTCTATTAGTGCTTGTAGGTACCGAATGGTGGTCTAACATTGAGTGATTCATGATTTCAATATATCAGTCAGTCAGTCAGTCAATTACAACGTAGAACTTCGTACTTAAGTACACTAGTTGATGTTGTCATGTTGTAGTGAACGAGAACACAGGTGGACCAACCGGATTGTATTTAACGAAAACTACAGAGTTACTCAGTAAAATCCAAAAACCATATCCTAAATCGTTAATTTGCAAAATATCAATCCATCATATCGAACTGGACTGTTCCTATTGCAAAACATCAATCCATTGTCACTATTCATGCGTTTCATACAAATTCCATTGTGTTCTAATTCTTCCTTTCTTGATCTTTCCCCATCTTCTGCTGCCAGACATTACGTTGACGCTCACGTCATATACTACTTATAAGTAGCTCACACCACAATATCACATTAGCACAGAGATGTAACTGTCAGTTCAAATCTCATAGTGGTAGAGATAGTAGATGTATTAACAGTAATCGAGGAGATTATGATTCGAAAAGTATACATCCGGTTAAATCCTATTGCTTAATATTATCTGACCACACAATACACTGGACAAGTTCCCAAGAATCAAAACACAGTGGAACAGGAAAAGATTATATTCCAAATAGCAAGGTTAAATGGAAATACGAAGACGAAGGCGAAAGGCAAAAATAGATACAACGTTAGTTTATTTATAGTATTTACATGAGAAGCTTTTGGATTAGACTTAGCCAATCAGCATGCAGCTAACAATACGAGAATTTGCTACTCTGTTCTCCAAAAATCGATCAGGCGCTGATTGGATTAGGAAATTAGCCAATCAGCGCGCGGCAACGTAGTCATGCTTTAATTCCATTTATGTCCCACTAACAGTGAGATAATTTTCGAAAGATAATGAGGAATTCAGAAGGTTAGAACTTCAGAGAACACAACTGACACAGATATATCTCCACCAGTCCAAACGATTTCGATCCATGTCGTTTAATGTCTTCAACCATCGATTGCTTTCATCTTGCAGACCCCCCAAACTAGCTGGTAGCCTACATCTACCAATATGACTCAGTTCACTTGTTTTATTGATTTCAATATGTATGAGCATCCATTTTTAGTAGGTATTTAATAAAAATACAGAAATCTAACATCTTTTTTGTCAACTGACTCAATGAATATTGTACATAAGGAGTGTTGTGTATATATATAAATTTCACAGGGAATTTCACTTCAATCAATTAATTATATAACAGCTATCAGTATATACATAAATGTTTTTTTAACTTATGAATAGCATATTTATAGTGCATACCAATCGCAGCATGAAAAATATGTTAGTAATTAAAGCTTGAAACCATATCATTCATGTAAATTGTAATCATTCACTAGTACTGTGGTGCGCGCTACTTATAAGTAGTATAAGACGTGAGTGTCAACGTAATGTCTGGCAGCAGAAAATGGGAGAAGATCAAGAAAGGAAGAGTTAGAACACAATGGAATTTGTATGAAACGTATGAATAGTGAAATGTCAGACAATGGATTGATGATGGATTGAAGATTTGCAAATTAACGGTTATGATATTGTTTTCCTATTTTACTGAGTAACTCTGTAATTTTCGTTAAATACAATTCGGTTGCCCTCACCTGTAATCATTTACTAGTAGTACAACACACTCATCCATCATTCATAAACAAGATAGAATGTAAAGATATTGGATTAGCAAAGCAAAGGGGAGAATTTTTTTTACAAAAGTCACAATTTTCAATACTAATAACGTCAAAACAGTTCTAATGTACGGGGAGGAAACTTGGAGAACCACAGAAACAATCATCAACAAGATATAAATGTTGTTTATTTACAGTTGTCTACGCTACCATTAGCAACAACCTGCTGTGGGGAAGAACAAGTCAGATTTATCCAGCTGAGGAACAAATGAGGAAAAGACACTGAATGTGGATAGGATATATATTACTGGAAATCATCCAACTGCATCACACAGCAAGCTCTAATTTGGTATCCTGGAAGAATAAAAGAAAAGATGCTGATCATAGGACACACTTCTCCGAAAATCGGAAGCCAAGCATTGAGAAGAATGAACAGCAATTGGATAGAACAGAGAAAGAAAGTCTCAGGACAGAATAGGTTAGAGATTGCTGGTTGACAACTTATACTCCATTAAGAGAGTAACAGGCGTAAGTTAGTAAGTAGGTACCACTCACCCATAAAATGAACAGTGAAATGCTCAACTATATTAGATACCGCACATATAAATTCATTGCAAATTCAGAGACATGTATTATAACTTTTGGGTAGCCTGTTATAGAAATATTCAAATAGGGATACACAAATACCCGTCACATTAGTGTCATTTTGAAACCGTGAAAAATGGAAATCGAGTTTTTGCTTAGTTCGGTTTTACTGTAGTTGGAATCAGTTTGTATTGATTTCTGGTTGATCGTAGTTAGGATGTCATCGAGAACCAAGTTTTAGTTAGAAATTTTATTAGAGTATTGGACATTTCAACAATAGGATGAAACGATCGTGCTGAATTCCACTTCTAAACCACATTCTATCTATTTCTGGTTGGGGTTTGCGAGACGAAAGTCACTCAAGGTTAGATTACTTGAATGACATAACTGAAAATCGTTTGCAGTGGCGCAAGTGTATCCATTCGTTGTGTTCTCTCAAATTCTAAACTTCCGAATTTCTCATCATCTCTATCTTTCTTTTTCTAAAGTTAGCTCACTGAACTATACTTCTTGAATAATATCTTTGCTCCCTAATCTTCTCCATTACTTCTAATACTTCTAATATCGCTATCACTATAGGATTTGAACTGACATTTGTGTCACTGTGCTAATGTGATATGGCGACCTGAACTGATGTACATAGGTACTAAGTTCTGCATTGTATCTGTCTGTCTATTCCATGAAATATTTGAAAAAATTTCAGCACCAGATTGTTAGGGATGTTAGATCCCCAGAACTCGCTTGACAAATATCTTTATTTTGGATTTATTTCGTGGACCGATCAGTTGACCTTGAAATCACATTTCCCACCAGGAAAATTATTGTCTGTGATTGGTTACTGTGTCATTTTAGTGTGCTATATTTGTGACTGTCTCAAAGACATCTCTATAGAGTATAAATAAACGCAATTTGAATGCTTGGTTTCATTGTGTGCTGGCTGAGTGTTTGTAGACAATGATACAATTTGGTCAAGGGATCACAATAGCCTACCTAGACACTGATTCATTGTCTCGTTCTCGTTATTCGACTAAGATGAACTCGTAATAGTTTAAAAGCATACCCTAGAGACAAGTGTAACACAGATTATATCTATGACAAATTAAACTGATCATGAACTTGTTGAATATAAACATATATTTTATGTTCACCAACATCCTCATACAAATCTACTAACGAAGCTGGATTAAATAAGATCTAAGTTAAACTTACTAATATTTCAGAATTAGTATAAGATAATCTATTATAAACATGCTAATTTTCTCTAAACAAAAAGTTCATCATTTGATAGATTTTCTAACGAATTATTGATTTTTGCAACAACAACACCAACAACAACAGCCGTGAAGGACGAATAAAAATGACTGTGTTATACTAGATTCTGATTGGCTAATCATCAAATGAATCATAATCTATTATAAACATGCTTATCTTCTCTAAACAAAGTTCATCATTTGATAGATTTTCTAACGAATTATTGATTTTTGTAAGAGCAACAATCAAGGACGAATAAAGATGACTAGTTATACTAGATTCTGATTGGCTAATCATTATATGAGTCATATGTTTATATGTATATATATATATAAATGCATATATATTTAGAATTTTCAAATGTCTATTTAAATTCAATTGATTTTTTTGCTAGATTTATTTCTGATCATTATTTTTCAAATTATCTAATGCTACACACAATGTTACAACCAGATGAAATTGATGCCATAGAAAAATTAAATGAATTATTTGAAAAAGAAGATAAATCTGACAAATATTTTTCACAAAAATTAACAAAAAAAACTCACCATGACCATCACCAACATCATCAGCATCATCACCATCATCATGATAATAATCATAATAATCATACCAGTAATACCAATAGTAACAATCATAACAACAATTTATCCTCTGTATTTCGATGCAGTGAAACACGTACATTTAAATCACCGACTCATTTAAATGGTACACAACAACATTATCCTCAAAATCAAAATAATGACAATGAATTAATACCAACTGGTTTACCTAGAATTAAAACAAAAATCACTGTGAAAATATTACCAAATGATTGTTGTATTACTGTGCTATTAGATCCAACAGCTAAATTAAATACTGTTTGTGCTATGTATGATTTAAATGAACAAATTATTATTATTGGTTATCAACGTTTAGTAACATTGAAAACGCTGGAAAATTTACCAATGAAATTCAATGCCATGTTAATTGAACAAAATGAAAATTTCAATTATGATTTAACTACTTATGTGGAACATCGTTATAAAGTTAGTTTAGATATGTATTATTTGAATGCAGCACGTGTGAAACAAAAAAAGAATATTGTTTATATTATGATACCGCGTAAATTGAAACCGAATGATATTCATCATGTATGATGTAATAATTAAATTTTTAATCAAGTTTTAAACAATACAATCCATTGTAATCTTGTGTAATTTTTTTGTTTTGATTTGTGTTGTGATGATTTATTCTAATTCCTTTTTTTCAATAGCATTGAATTATTTCAATGTCCAATGTTGATAAATTGATTATTGAACAGCATACGTATCAAGGCAATTAAAACTTATTTGTTTTTATATATTTACTATGTATGCATGCTTGTTGTAAGTGACTTATTTTTTTTGCTTTCTATTGATTTGATTAGTAGTACCTTGTTTTTTTAAAAGATATTTTTTATTATCAGTTTAACAAGATTATTATGTAATTATGAATTGAAACAGTTGAGTTTATATGTATTTTTTTGTCATATAGTTTTGTTTAATTGATGACATAATAAAAAGGCTTTCATGTTAACACATCAGTTAGTTTTGTTTGTTTTTTGTGAATGGAGTGCTGTTGAAATATGATACTTACTTACTTACTTACGCCTGTTACCCCCAATGGAGCATAGGCCGCACACCAGTTTTTTCTAACTAACTCTGTCCTGGACTTACCTTTCTAGCTCTTTCCTGTTTTTGTTCACTGTTCTTATGTCTTTCTCTATTTCTCGGCGTAATGTGTTCTTTCGCTTCCCTCTTTTCCTTTTACCTTGAGGGTTCCATGTAAGGGCTTGTCTCGTGACACAGTTAGGTGCTTTTCGTAGTGTGTGTCCTATCCACTTCCACCACTTCTTCATGATTACCTCCTCCACTGGAATCTGGTTTGTTCTCTCCCACAATAAGTTGTTGCTGATAGTGTCTGGCTAACGAATCCGAAGTATTTTGCTTAGACAACTGTTCATAAATACTTGTATCTAATGGGTGATTGTCGCTTGTCGATCGTAAGCTAACACACATTCTAGTTAAGCTAACTGTGAGTTCCTAATTTGAATTATGTTGAAGTGTTGTCTGGGTATCCGATGTAGAGTAAGTTAGTGAGTGAACCGGATAAAAACATCTTTATTAGAGTCAGCAGAAATCAGAGCGTTATAACTATCAATCAATAAACTAAACAAGAATTGTGAACATTGAAAGTTGAAGCATCCACTCAAAGTTTATGTGTGCTGTCTAATTGAATTACTGCAACCAACCATCACTTTAATATTCAAGTGTAAGGAAATGTGAGGGAACGCTGCTCATCTTGACTTCCCTGCACAAGCCACATTCGAATTATTTCGCGAATTGCTACTGTTTGTCTGTTTTTTGAGTGAAACTTGAGTAAAAATCACTCAACAAGTTTGTAAAATCTGTTTCAATGATGATCATTTGCTAAAAACGCACTCAATACACTTCTACTCAATAGAATCAAGTTTTGTTTACCGTGAAATTTAAGATTAGGAGGCATAATCATGTGTAAACGAGATCTGGCGCGTTTTCGCTTTCGGTAAACGAGAAATGATCTGCAACAGATTAACCAGTTTTTTTCTAAAGACAGACTTTGAATGTAAGTAAGTAAACAGTGTGTTAGGATATTCATCCAATATCCTAAGAGAATTATTGGTCAATTACTATTGGTCGATTTCTATTGGCCAAAATTATGGTCGTTTTAACTGTCAAAGTCAATTACTTTAATGTTGTCTCTTATTGGTCATCCTGACTATCAATGTCATTTTAAATGTTACTTCCTATTGGTCGTATTAACTGTCAATATCACAGATTTCGATGCTGTTTCCTATTCGACCAAAATGTATAAATACGCATTATCTGTAACGTTTTATGACCAGGACCGGATCCCTAGTCCGGGATCTTGATTCTCTTCTGGATTCGGACCTCGTACTTTCTGGATGCTTGTAGAATACAGGTTCTACTTCATATCAAGTCTTGTCTTCTTTTACTCAATATGGGGGTTGGGATATTCAGATATGAGTAGCATGTCGTGTCGCCGGATCCTCGCTCTCGTTTTCCGTCTAGGTAAACTCGTAATAGTTCATGTATATCAAGTTGACGTGTTTACGTGCAGACGTAACATTAACAAAAACCAATCGACCTCTCCGGTATTTATGCACAGACTTCGTCACACACCAACCAGACCATCAGTCCTACATTGAATGTTCAGAGTTCCCATGTAAAGTATTAGTTCCGTTTTTTTTCAGAGCCCTTAAGCACACAAACAGTGCTAGTTGATCAATGTGACTTAGATTATAACAACAAAACAACTTGAATAAAACAAAACCAAAATTAAAATCTTTTTATTATTAATTTTTTTCACTATGTAATGAATTATATTCATTAATTAAATAATTAAATTACGAACACAACAAGAAGAATAAAAGTATTCTGACAAGAAAAAATAATATATATATATATATATATATATATATATATATATAAAACAATCGAGATCAACTGAAAAAGAAAACTGGGGAAACATGAGAAACGTTAGCACGGACGCGGTCGCGGGCGCACGCTTACACACACACACACACCCTCATATAGACATTGAACAGTAAAATATAGAGAGAAGAAGAAGAAGAGAAATATATCACAAATACATCTCTAAAATAATAATAATATAATGAGGTTGGTTATTTCACATTTTCAAACCAGCCGCCAATAAATAAATGATCACCATGAAGCAGCGCGCGCGTTCAGCTCCAAATTAACTCGTTGATTTAAACAAACAAACAAACAAACAAATAAACGAACAGAAAGACACATTGAACGAATTTTTTTTTGAATTGACAAAAAATAACTTTAAAAGACAAACAGAAAGACACACACACAGAGGGAGAGAGAGAAAAATGAAACGGATCTCTCTCTCTCTCTGTGTGTGTGGATCACTCACTAACTATGAAGTTGCCTAAAATTCAAACATGGAACAAACAACAATGCAGTCAGTGTACAATGCAATGCAATGCAATGCAATGAAATGAAATGACAAAAAAGAAGAAACGAAATGTAAATTAACCGAAAAGACAAAAAACAAAATATTATTCTTGTGTTTGTTTGTTTATATCATATATATATATATAATACATAAAGCATCTTAGGTGAATAGATAGGCCCGATAAATTGTATATATGTATACATGTATACATGTGTATATATATATATATATATATATATATTTATTACATCATAATATGTACGATGTTGCACTATGATGGTTGATGTGACACAGAAAGAAAATAAGAAGGGACAAGAAGTATTTGTTGAGATAAATGAATGTGGATTATTTTAACCGGGCAATTTAAATAGATAAGTTTATATCATATCATATCATTATATATATAGGGCAAGAAGATTAATATTTTAGAGATAGTGGAATAGTAACTGTTAAAATGAGAGTAGAGGCGAGAAAGACATAGATTAAACTGAATGTTGATAGAAAGTAACGAACTCAAAAGTAGCAAAAACATAAACTGTAACAAACTGAAGTAGATAGATAGATAGATAGCGAGTGATCGAGGGAGATAGAGAGATGAATGAACAAAACGCCTATTCATCCCATTCTCTATCCATCCATTCTAATTCGTTGAACTAAAAAATTGAGGAACGAAGCAGAAAGAATTGATCTTTCAATAAAATACAAATAAATATATTATATATTATTGGCACTTGAAAAATAATGATCATCATCATCACATTCTCTATAAATTATAATAAAACCAAATAATTACAATATAATAAGAAAGAACATGAATAAAACAGAGAACAAATAAAAAGAAAAGAAAACAGCAGCAGCACATGATATTATCCATTCATTCATTCATTCATTCATTCATCCTAAACTTGAACAATCTGTGTTGTTGAAGAACTAATTCCATCTCAATCCAAATTAGAGCGGTGCGGTGCAGTGCGATGCGTGGTAGGAACAATAAACAGAATAAAAATAAATTTTGCGATAATCAAATTAAATAATTCACACAAACAAAAGTAATCTTGTCTAATGTTTTCATCTTTTTTTGTGCGATGCGTGTGTGTTGATGAAATAATTATATAAACTTGCCAAAATCGGGTAGTAAGAGATGGCAGGCAAGCAGACACGTAGGCAGCCGCCAAACCACGAATCTCTTACAAAATACAACATAAATGTGAAAGAAGTAAGTAGAGAGAGAGACTGAGAGAGGGAAAAAAATCAGCAGAAGAAAAACACACAAACAAAACAAAAAACATCACAGTGTAAAAACAGCAAAGAAAAATTGTCTGTCCCATTGGTTGCTCTCATGTTGAATCGATCAAGTGAAGTCAAGTCAAGTCAAGCTGATCGGTGGTAGCTGTGAATGAGTATACAATAGAACACTATAGGCATAGCATGAAACACACATACACAAAATAAAACATAAACAATTAATCTTGATCTGAGCACAGTTAGTTGACGAACAAAGAAGCAGTAGATTGCCAATGAAAGAACACATATGTTGATTTGTTGTTGTTAAAAAGTCAGTTTCTGCTGGTGGCGGCGTCACCACCACCTTCTTCTTCCTCCTCCATTTCGACTGATTCATTTTGTTGTTGTTGATGGTGGTGGTGATGATGATGATGTTCCGTCAGTGTTTGATCGCCAATCAATGAACCACCATAGGATAATAAATGTCCATAGATTTGTTGAATATTATTAATAATATAACCACTATTATCATGATTATTATTATTATTGTTATGATTATTATTACTACTACTTGCAGTAGTAATAGTAGTATATGTATTAGTAGCCGGTGGACCTGCGGTGATACACGGGTGATGATTATGACTGGTACCGACGTCTACTATTGGATGCATAGTACTACTACTACTACTACTAGACTGTGCTGTGTTATCACGGCTAATTATCATATAGTCATTAGTTAAATAACGTAAATGATCCAATTCCGCATCATCTGATGTTGTCAGTGATGTTGGAGCAGTGATACAATAGAGGGATTTTATCAGATCATCATTTCCACCATCATCGATCGCGTCTTCACTTTCTTCTTCTTCTTCATCATCATCAGCGTTATTATTATTATCATCATCGTCATCACTGTCATCGTCGGCACAATAGTTATCGTTGTCGTCGTTCGGTTCATCTTCAACATCATCAACATCGACATCATCCTCGTCATCCTCACCATCGCGATTGTTTCCGCCAGTCCTTCTTCGAATCAAACATCGATTATCCACTGGTTTTGCGCTGTTACCGATGATAAACCGGCTCATATCCATGTCAGCAATATCATCGTCATCAACAACGTCATTACTTTCGTCATGTTGTACAGTGTTGTTGTTATCGATGACATCAGTTAAATTGTTGTTTACAGGCGACATAATTGAAGGCATCTAGATTGTCGAGAGAGAATGGGGAATAAAACAAGAATGAAATAAAATTTGACAGAGAATCATCATAAATAAGTGTAAACTTTGCTTAACTTGAAGTCAATGCCTTTAGAAGGAGTAGGCGGATGATAACTAGTGCATACGATTCGATAATAAAGTGATGATCTAATACAGTCAGTCAGAGGGACCTGAAAAGGAAGATAGATTAGTGTTGGTGTTGGAGACCTGGGTGCGTGACCGCAGAGCCCAGGGGACAACTGCTTGAGGCCGGTCACGCACGGCCTTTTTATGAAAGGATTTTTGAGTATTAGCTCCGCTCTTTTAAAGCCCTTAGTGGGCACCCTTACTCAAGGAGACGGAAATCCGTGAGGTAGGGTGAGGTGTGACATTTCTAGGGTCGACCTTTTCTAACTCTTCCTCCCTTGTGAGAAAGCAGAATCACTGTAGATGTTGGTTGTCCGAGGGAAACACCTTACTGCTGTCACACCCCTCCATCACAGTCAGTCAGCAGTACGACTTCGCCCTCAGACCTTGGGTAGCTGCTTTTAGTCTCATCGTTCTCCAATCGACCTGCCTGACATGGTAGAACCTTCAGGAACATATGTTCCAGCCAATATAGCTCGGTTGAGTCATCACGATAGCAAAGCCCGACCACCACGTCAAGGTAGCAGCTGCGGTCAGGATGATCTAATACAGATGAATAAACATGGATTTGGAAGGCAAGGATAGCATATTTCAACAATTGAAGAACAGGTAAAACTCACAACAACTGCCAACTAACATCACAGTTGTCTGCGCAAGATGCTCCTCACCCGTTGACCGGATACCATCAGTTACCACCTACTTTGGGAGAGCACAAAACAGACTCCTCCAGCTGAGGAATAAATTAGGAAAAAGCGTTCGAGGTGGATAGGACATATATTGTAGGAATCACTCAACTGCATCACGAGGCAAGCCGTAATTTGGAACCCTCAAGGTCAAAGAACATACTGGGTCGAGAATTGGGGACAGACATTAAGAAATATGTAGCGACTGAAAATCAATATTTTGTACACATTGAAAACATGAATGAATGATTGTTAGACATCATTAAAAAATTCGAAGCACTGGAAGATGGCCATTTCGTCCGGGTATGGGGCTCATCAGCAGTGCGCAACCACGGCTTCGACAACTCTCAGGATTCAAAAACTGGACCTTCGATCTTGCACATGAACGCCTAAACTCTGGACCACTGGGTCAGGATCCAACGGTGTTATTGTCTAACTATGATCAATCTAGGGATTTTGTGCAACCTCTCCCATTGTTTTTTGGTAGTTACTGCCTACAGCTGACTGGGGTGAACTCCATTGGTCACCTCTTCTCACTAGAACTTTGAGAATTTACGCAGAAAGCTTGTCACTAGTGAGCACATTTTTTAAATTTTGCATTATGGTATTGTAGAGTTGATCGATAATCAACCCACATAATTTGAACCATGTGGCATGAGTTAAAGACTATTGTCGACACTTGATTGGCTTATCTCTATACTCTAACTATCACTGCATGGTTAGTGTTTAGCAAAATTTGGCAATAAACAGTAAGTACTTTGGATTAACACCACTCTACATCAACTTCAGCGACTACGAGAAAGCATTTGATATGAAGACGTAAAAATCTGAGGCGAAGCCTGGAATACAGTGGACAGCTCGAATGCAACTAGATTTCACAGATGATCTAGTCCTTAAATCCCGCATACTACAATAAATTCAGAAGATGACCAGAGTCACAAAAGCCTCAGTAGTAGCAGGTCTCAACGTAGATGGAGGGAAGAAGCAAGATTCTCCGATACAACAGAACATGCGCCAACCAAGTCACTCTTGATGGAAATGCCTTGGAGGACGTACAAGCCTTTACCCATCTGGGCGGCATCATTGACGAGCAAGGTTAATCCGATGCAGATGTGAAGGCACGGATCAGCAACGCAAGAACAATATTTATACAACTCAAAAAAAACTATCAACAAACACCAAAGTCACAAGCTTCAATATAAATGTCAAGACAGTCCTACTGTATGGGGTGGAAACTTGGAGAACTACCAAAGCCATCATCCACAAGATACAATAGTTTATAAATAGTTATCTACGCGAAATACTTCGGCTTTGTTGGCCAGATGCCATCAGCAACAACCTACTATGGGAGAGAACAAACCAGATTCCAGTTGAGGAAGTAATCAGAAAGAGGCGGTGGAAGTGGATAGGACACACATTTCAGAAAGCATCCAATTGAGTCACAAGACAAACCCTCACTTGGAACCCTCAAGGCTAAAGGAGAAGAGGAAGACCAACGAAATGATTATGCTCCGAGAAATGGAGACAGACATGTGAAGAACGAACAAAAATTGGACAGAACTGGAAAAGAAGATCAATGAGAGAGTAGGTTGGAGAATACTGGTCGACGGCCTATGCTCCATTGGGGGTAACAGGCGTAAGTATGTAAGTAATTACCTTAGATTAAGCTCACAGCACACTAAATCACAATACAATATCAGTGAATTCGTTGATATAGCTCTGTAAATATATTAGTCAGCTATATCAGGCCATTGGTGATGCATAGAGTCAATACCGAAATGTAATATAAACAGTAAAATAAAAACACAGACAAAACAAAGTAGAATAAACAATGGTCCACGGGTTAGGCGTTCGCGCACAAGACCGAGGGTCCTGGGTTCGAATCCTGCGACGTGCAGAAGTCGTGGATGCGCCCTAACACTGATGAGTAGTCCCATACTAGGCAGGACAAAACCACCGTCTATCAGTGCTTCCAGGTTTTTTTTTCTTCTAATGGTAGTCTAACAATGACTGATTGATTGATGATATGCACACTATGCACGAAATAGGAAAACCCCCCGCCCCCCCCACAAAAAAAGAACACAAATCAATCAAACTAACCAAATTCATTAGAATTCTTTCAGCTTGCTGCAATGTTTCCATTGTTTTGTCTTTAGCACCATCAGGCCAATTATGATTGGATGTGTGTAATTTTAAACTAGCCAATGCTGATAAAGTAACCTATTATGTAATTAAAATAATAACGAGAGAAAGATAGAGTGAAAAAGTGTGTGTGTGTGTGTGAGTAAAATAAATATAAATATACATATTAGAATAAACGAGATAGTTTAATTGTATGGATTGTCATAGTGCTGAACATACTTATACACTTACTTACTTACGCCTGTTACCCCCAATCGAGCATAGGCCGCTCACCAGTTTCCTGCAACCAACTCTATCCTGGGCTTCCCTTTCCAGTTCTGTCCAATTTTTGTTCATCCCTCTCATATCTTTCTCTATTTCTCGACGTAATGTGTTCCTTGGCCTTCCTCTTTTCCTTTTGCCTTGAGGGTTCCATGTGAGGTCTTGTCTTGTGACGCAGTTCGGTGCTTTTCGTAGTGTGTGTCCTATCCACCAACTCCACCGCTTCTTCCTGATTTCCTCCTCCATTGAAATCTGGTTTAATCTCTCCCATGGTTCGTTGTTGCTGATGGTGTCTGGCCAACGAATCCGAAGTGTTTTGCGTAGACAACTGATAATAAACACTTGTATCTTCTGGATGATGCCTTTCGTAGTTCTCCAAGTTTCCACTCCATACAGTGCTGAGAACATACCGTACATGTTTCAATGTATTTAACAAACATTACATTTAGTGTAAATGGTATGCGGCGGTATTGTGTGTGCTTGAATTTGAAAAATTCTACTATACACAAATCAATAGAATGTTCAGCTCTTAGGGTAATGAGTTAGTGAAATGCTCAAGTCAATTGATATGCTTGAATGCTGATTACGAGTTCATCTTTATCGGTAAACGAGAGTAAAGACAAATGATCCAGTCACACGATAGGCTATTGTGATTCGATTGTCCCTGGCCGTGCTACTAACCATAGTAAGAAGTCTTGATCAAATGTAGAGAGAATGTATTCTGCAAGCACTCAGAAAATATGAGGTTTACAAGCACACAAATCGAGTTTATTTATACACGACAGAAACGTCCTCGGGAGAGCCACAAAAATGGCTTACTACAATATTACATCAACCAATAACAATAGTCAACCATTTTCCGGGTGGGAAATGTAATCTCAAGGACAACTGATCAGCCCATGCGCGAAAGCATAATATCCAGAATGAGGAACTTTATCAAGTGAGTTCTGGGGATTTAACGCCCCCAACAGTTAGCGATAAGTTAGTTGGACATAGGCAATGCACAATCTATGCACATAGGTGTATCAGTGCAAGTTGTTATGTCATATCAGTCAGTAGTATATCGAAATACGTTTACTAAATGGCTAGCTAGAGTAGTAAAAATGTGATCAGATGCTATTGGCAAGCTGGCGCATATCAATAGTATGTAGTGGAGAGTCAGCTAGAAGTTGTAACCTAAGAGAGTAGTGTTTAGCGGTGTAAATGTATAGGGCGATCTCAGTCTACCGAAAACTAAGAGATATGAAAGAAGTCAGTCTGTGATCTGCTTGTATAGATGTCGGAAGGTTATGCGTACATATTTTGTAAATAAAACTGCGCATGTATATTCCTACTGCTCTGCGGACGGAAATAAACACGATTACGTAAAGCTAGTAGTGTCGATGAAAAATAAATGACTTCATGTGGTGGAGTTTGATTCTCTGAGTTGGGTGTTTTGGTTGTGGAGCTGTCATTGTTCTTCCTCTGCTTAACAATATCATCAACACAAACTTTAGATAGAAGTGAAGTATTCCAAATTCTCCCCGTATGACCCATAGTTTGTTTTGGTAACCTCCAGCTTGATTGGTTGTTATTGACCTTAAATCTATCATTGTCTGCAACTTTATTGCGATAGTATCCCCCTTTTGATCTGTTTCTTGATCCTATGTTTGCTTATGATTTTTCTGACTGGTTAACTGTTGATTGACCTGAATGATAAGCTTCCAAGAAACATTTCTCTACAGTTCTTTGTTCTCCTTGTATCCAGTAGTTTAACATTGTTCCAATCAAATGTATGTCCGTAGTTGTCTGTATGTATTGATATAAGGAAAGAAATGTCATGGTGTGTGACTGCGAACTGATGTTCAGAGATGGTAGAGAAAATTTGTAGCTCAGGTGGATGACTGTGGTGGTGTTTTAGTTGTGGAGCTTTCGTTGTTCTTCTCCTCTGAAAACGACATCATCAGCACAAACTTCAGATAGCAGAAGTGAAGTATTCAAATTTCTCCACGTTTGACCTGTAGCTTGTTCTGTTAACCTCAAACTTGATTGGTTGCTGTTAACCTTACACCTGTCGCTGTTCATACCTTTGTTTTGATTGTATCCTCCTTTCAATCTGTTTCTTGATCCGACGTCGCCTATGCTTTTTCTGATTGGTTGACAAATTCCCTAGTTTTCTTTGTGTCCCCCGCCTTATCAAGTCTCTCACCACCGATTACCATTTACGTATAAAGCCGTAAAGTAAAAAAAAAATGGTATTTAGTGCACTGATCAAATCAATGTCATATATTCTTAGGGGGTCAAGGTGACTCTATTTCATGCGACATGTATGTATGTGTGTGTGTGTGTCGGCATAGATGTATATGAATGTCTATGAAAAATGTTGACTTTATTTGTTATTGTGAACAGTTCAAGTATGATAGTTCGTATGTGATATAAGAATATGAGAATTTGTTATCATACACACTTGGATAAATGTGATCATGGCAAGTTTGACAAGTGCTGCATTTTCTTCTCTATCGCGAATGCTGGTATAGCGTATAGCGTTAATAATCAATCAGTGAAAACTTTCAAATCAGATGAAAAATAATGATATATTTTATAGAAGAAGACAGAGTCTACTACTAAGAAAAATAAAACAAGTTTATCATCATCATTAGCAGCAACGTAGAACTTTGCACACAAGTACATCAGTTTAGGTTGCCATACCGCATAAGCACAGAGACGCGATTGTCAATTCAAATCCCATAGTAATAAAGATAGTAGAGGTATTAATGGTAATGAAGAAGACTAGGGTTTGAAGATATTATTCAAAAAGTATAATTCCATGAGATAAGTTGAGAAAGAAAAGGGAAAAGGTGTTGAAGAATTCAGAAGATTAAGGTTTGAAAGAACACAAAGAGTGGATGCACCTGCGCCATTGCAAACGATTTTGAGCCATGTCATTCAAAGTCTGTAATTATCGTCTCGCCGAATCCAACCAGGTAGTCTACATCTACCAACATGACTCAGTCTACTTGTCAGTGACTTTATGGATTTCTGCCATGTTTTGGTTTGGCCGCCCCCGCCTTCCTTCCAACCTACTCCTACACTGCGAAACATAGCTCGACGACAGAGTCGGTGGTTAGGCATACGTAACACATGTCCCAACCACCTCAATTGATGAAGTTTCAATACTTCATCTATTGATTTGCTATACCTAACTATAGCATTGCTTACTCGATAGACCCAGGTTACACGAGCAATGCTACCTGTACAAGCCCAGATATAAAGGAGGAAGGGTTGGGGGCATAAGAGTTAGCGACTTCAACTCATAGGAAACGAACTCTATGAAAAACGCGCTAATTACAACACTACACTACACACAAGTACAACTGATATTCATTTCATTACCATGAATTCAATAAACACTATTCCACATTCATTCATTCATAACACTTACTTCATTGAATAATTTCACTAAATAAATTTCATTTGATAAATAATTCATTACAATTGTTGTATCAGTTAGCAATAAATTAATGTATAAGCTGAATACATGATAGGCTGCCATATTTGATTCATAAATAAAATTGGAATTTAATAATTTAAATAAATTAGCATCATTGGAATCTTTAATATCAAATGAAAAAAAAACAAAATAAGAAAATGCCGAAAATTAAAATTAAATTAAATTAAAAGAAAGAAATGAAGAAACACACCAAGAAATATGTGATATTATATACACTGTGAGTGAAATAATAATACTGTTATGATATTGATCCAATATCCTAAGAGAATTATTGGTCAATTCCTATTGGTTAATTCCTACTCGTCAATTTTATGGTCGTCTTAGTAGATATCAATGTCACGTGCTCCAATGTTGTTTCTTATTGGTCATCCTGACTATCAGTGTAACTTCAAATGTTGCTTCCTATTGGTCGTCTTAACTGTCAATATCACAGACTTCGATGCTGTTTCCTATTCGACCTAAATGTATAAGTACGCATTATCTGTAACATTTTTAGGACCACGACCAGGACCAAGACCAGGTCCCGGATCCCTAGTCCCGGTTCATGATTCTCTTCTGGATTCGGACCTCGTACTTTTTGGATGCTTGTAGAATACAGGTTCTACTTCATATCACGTCTTCTTATTTTTACTCAATATGGTGGTTGGGATAATCGGATTTGAGTAGCATGTCGTGTCACCGGATCCTCGATCCTCGCTCTCGTTTTCCGACTGGGTAAACTCGCAATAGTTCAAGTATATCAAGTTGACGTGTTTAAGTGCAGGCGTAACAAATACTTTCAATTAATTCAATTATAATCATGCTATCTCTCTCTCTCCTAAATGCAGTTGTTGAGAAAGTGAACAGAGAATGATTCGCTTTTGTAAATGCCACGCGTTTATAACCATTCCTTCCAGTGACCGCCTTACTTACTGCCTTCTTGTGCGTGGTACAGGTAGTCTTTATCAATTTGAAAGGACACAAAAGTGACAATTTGGTGATGGGTTAAATCGAGTTGGTGGTTACGGAGGAGATGAAAATCTCTAATTCCAAATCAATGATACATATGGGCCACAGAATCCTGATCGGTATTGATTGATTTCATGAAATAATAACTTATCCAAAAGAATTACCCAGACCATGGGGCAATAAATAAGATGAAACCAATATATTGATTTAATCACTTCATATCAATGAGGATGTAAGCCCTAAAATGCCTTATAGTATGGCTAAGAGGGAAAAGAGTCTACTCTCCCTGGTCAAATGCTTTCATATGGCCATATGTGTATATAGCCACTGCCGGAGAAATCCTACTGACTCACTTCTCGTAGTGAGGGTGTTGTTTGCT